AATTGATAATAACAATAATAATAGGTGATGATGAATAATAATAGGTAATAATAAGTAATGAATAATAATAATAAGTAGATAATAACAATAATGGATAATGAATAATAGATAATAATAATAGATAATGACAATAATAGATAAGCAATAATAACAATAATAATATAGATGTGGGTGTAAATAAATAACAATAATAATAAGTATATATATATATGTTTATGTATGAATGGGCATGAAATCTGTAAAAATATTTTTAATCTGCTCGGTCAGATAAGAAATAACAATCAAAAACGAAGTATAGGAGTTGTATAACTGCTATGCCTCATAGCAAAAAAAACTAATCTCGTACTGATTTATACCTTATGAAGTGCTATAAATAATATTTATTTCAAACAAAATAGTTCAAAATGTTTCAAAAAATACTGATCAGAAACGGACATTAGCTGAGAACTGATAATAAATAAACAGAGAAACGAAGAATTTAGCACGCACCATTATAGTGGTACTTTAATTACCTGTATTTGGTATCAACAGTTGAAGAAAAGTATTACGAGTCCTACAAGTATTAACAGCATGAAACAGTTGGATTACTTCTATTACGATCGATGAAATTCAAAAGCAGAGTTTGTGTGTACTTTTTTATGATTAATGAAGTTTTTTATGATGCCAAAAGCTGGTACGAAAATCAACTAAATATGCAGGAGAAGTCATGAATTAAATCAATCCTAGAAGGAACTTCAACTAAAGAATTTCAGTACAACACTGAAATTAAGTGGAATAAAAAAAATTTGAAGTGGATTTGGACCATTCAATAAATAAAAAAATATTCGTGCCTAACTACCTCATTTCATCAATGTTTTTTATACACTATCTTCCTCCACCTCGCCCTCTTATCTTTATCAATCCGTTCTCACCACCAGGTGACTTTGTTGTGACCAAAGACGAACTGTTATTTAATCATTCCATTTCGTGACTTTCACTCAACACTCTCTTATGTTGCAAATGACGCATCCTTTTCATCATCTGAAAATAAACTGCTTGTCCAATATCAAGTGCATTCCATCCCAATGCGAAGTGCGTGAAATTCCAATACAGCCATGACGTAATTAGAATTCCGTCTGGGTAATTATGTTCCGGCTTTTGTGGGATCAAGATGAACTTTAACACAATTTCACTAAACAGTTTGGCTAAAAGTTTATGCTCCTGCTTCTTTCTAGGAACTCATTTCGAATAGCACATTACTCCTTACCTCAGTGTGAATTTGAGACCAATAAAGTTTTTTTTCGTCAATTTTCGCAGCAAAATCTGAACATGTTGAAAGAAATACGAACTTTAGCTCAGAATAAAGGAGTGAATAACATATTTTAGTTGTGATATAGTCGCTTAGTTACCGAATTGAAAGTAACCCTTACAGATCTGACAAACAAGAAAATAAGAAAGAAACCGAGAATTTTGCTTTTTAAGAAAAAATCGAAACATACAATTTTCAGATATAAACACAGCTAGCAACAAAAATTATTTTTTAATAAAGATATTTTTGCTACACCATTACGGCCTATTTTTTCCAATGTATTTTACAAGTGGATGTAATTTTCTCAGCAGTTTAAATTCTATCTGATTAAATTTGTTAAATTGAAACAGTGCCAAGATTAAACAAAAATTTTAGTTTTGAATGTGGGCAAGATGGTCGTTATATCCTACCTCCGTATGCGTTGCAATTGAAATTTCAAAGGGGTTGAACATTTGTATTTCGATTTATAAAAATTATTTTTGTTTGAGGCCTATTTGAATACCCAATTATTGAATTTCAACAGGAAGGTACTGATGACGAAGCATACTATGGTCTTTTTGATCTATATGAAAATGTCAATAAATAATTTCAAGGTGAAAGATGAAAGTTTAAAACGTAATCAGAGGAAAGACAATCCAAATGAAATTAGATGTGATACAAATAATACAAGGGTTCTTGAACAAAAAGGAAGAGTGGAGGATGGGATGTCCGAAGAGGAGAAAGGAACGAGACGGGACACTGAATTGTGGGATGAGTGAGGGCGAGTGCTGAGTGTCCTGATGTCCAGATTGAAGCACACAAAATTATTTCTTCAATGACGTATGCTGCTGTTGCACAGATAACAAAACCACCCCCAATCCCACCCCCACTTTCACCTTCACCTCCGACTCACCTTCTAGATCCCAGCTGGCTCGAATACTGCAACACAGGACACACCCCCTTTCTCTGGTTTGATCTGATGTAATTGAGGTGAGGAGGGCTATTGTGGCACCTCTCTCACTCTGCTAAGCCAAACACTGTTGTAAGGAAGCATATGTTGCTTCACAAAAAGTGAAATGCGTTAGGACGATCCTCATGTCGTCGGTCACCATTTTGCCGTAACTCCGCCAATCCCAAACGTTCAGTGGCTGAACTCTTTTGCAGATATTTTTCCAGTGTGCTGCTCTAAACATTCTGGAATTTCAAATTCAAAGATATGTGGGGAGCGGCATCCGTTCTCTCGAGAAATATTTTAACCATTACAGCTGGTGCGGATGCTCTCTGAGATGTCTGTCAATCCAATATATGCTCGTGCTATACTTCCCCTATCTATTAATTTGTGTCTCAAAGACGTCCGACGCAAAAACAACATCAATGATTCTTTTGCCTTTTGTAATAAACAAGGTAACGAGCAGAAGGCAAATCTCAAAAAGATATAAGCCTGACGAATACTCAGTCCCTTGAGATTTCAAATCTTAAAAAGCTTGTGTCCTGCTAAAAGGTTTAGTGAATCAATGCAAAACAAGAGGATGCACTCCATTTCACACTTTATTAAAAATACATTCGTATACAAATACATTAAATCGATAGCTTGGAATTTGGAAATTTTGGGCTGATGAAGTGGGGAAAGAGAACTTTTAAAGGAAAACTGTCGGCGTGAGAAGTTCAAGAGAACTTTGCCATTTCTGAACGGTCAAAAGTGTTGTATTTCACAATTGTTATTTACGATATATTGTTTATTCAAATCCGTCCGATTAGCGATCAAATCTGGTCTATGCGCAAGTATTTCAATATGATTATTCTACAAAGCAATTCAAATTGCCTGCGATCCACATATCTATTGTTGAATCTTCTCTCTCTCTCTCACCCCCCCCCCCCCTCACCTCAAATTGCTAAATTTCACTGACTGGTTTATCTATCTACCTATCTATCTATTTATATCTATCTATCCATATAAACACGTAATATAATCCTTAATTGCGTTGACGTAAAGTGCTCGAATCTTTGCAGTAATGTTGTGATATTGTGATTTATGCTCTGCGCTCAGGATCCGATTAGATTTGGTCCAACCTTTTAATCCCCAGCTTTTTTAAATGTTTCGAAATTGCTTTTCTGTGTACATCTAATACAGATATGTATTTCATATATTAGTTCGAAAGATGTACAAAATGTGTTTTCGAAAGTAAATATCTCACTCGCAGTCTTATCACACTGTTTCCCCAACAAACATGTAAACAACAGCCTCGTGATTTATTTGCAGTGTTTGGTCGACAGAATGTTATAGTTGTTGTCCTTGGCCTTTGCTAACCGGCAAATACAGCCAATATTGATATCGCTGTCAATAATATCTTGTTGAATTTTCACTTATTCTGCAAACAGTTTCAAATTTGTCTTCTCTCTGTCACATTAGTGCATATCTCTGGCACGTGAGTAGCACAGAAAGTTGTTTTTCTCACAATTTGCAGTCGTACGCAGGTATCACTTTTATCATCTACATAATATGCTTACAGGAAAATGCTAAAATCTTTGTTGCAACAAACTATTCGCATATCTTATATTTTTGCGAAATGTCATAGAATTATTTGGTGACAGTTTTTTTACCTCCTCCTCTTCCTTGACACTTCCCGTACAATACTAAAATGCTGTACGGATTATCCGTAACATCAGCTTGGACTTCTTGGTGTCGAAAAGCAATCAAGAAAACAATAAATGGGAGTAGAAAATGAAGGAGAGATACGTATTTTTTAGATTTCTCGCTAAATTTATCGTTTTAGTGTTATCATAGTAAAATATTAAAATCGAATTATAGTAATGATGCTTCATTTTCACTGAATCCCCACTTTCTCTACTTGTTGGGAATGTTGGAAATCACTGCTTTCACATGCAGTCTTTTTGCTCTGTATTACTTTTTAGGCATTTTATACAATATATGATTTATCTCCAGTCCTCTACATTTCGGTCTTCAGGTTGACCAGTCAATTACAGTATTCACTAAAAACAAGAGATTCTGATGAGGGTCTATTTAAAATATTCCTGAAAGGTAAGTTTGTACAAATAATATTCAATGGATTAACCTTCTATCCGTGATCCGTGAATCGTTTGCATTAAATCCCCTGTTTGTTTGTAATAGAAACGCTAGAATGTTTATAGGTTAATTATACTTGTACCTCTAAACGAGTGCGTAGCGGAAATATTCTGCAACACACGCTTGCTTCTGTCTGAAACAAACACATGCTTTCGTCAAAACCCAAATGTTTTGGAATACGAGGGAAGAATGCTTTTCGTTCCGAGAATGAATCATAAATAATCAAATAACAGTTACTCTTTGTCCTCGTGCCAGACACTACAAAGGTTGCTGCTTTGAAGCGCATCGCTACAACAGATACTGCGTCGCTGCTCTATTTCATATTGAAACCCAAGTTTGAATGTATGTATGTATATGTATATGTGCAGGTATGTGTGTAGTATACGTACGCGTGTAACATTTATGAGAGTATCTGTATACGCAAACATGCTAAGGTTTCGCTGCCGTGAGGTGAGTTGTTTGTGTATAGAAAGGAATCAACATCTCGAGAGAAGCGGAATTCATTCAAATCGGATCATGATAATCATTCGTTGAGATGTATAAGTGTCAATGTGCATTATTCCGTCTGACTGCTTCGTTTATTCGCAAAAATTGTTCGTGGAAACATATTGATGGTGTCATTGGTATATTATGGGCGATGATTAATACAGGTGGAGACTGTGTAGGCTTCGTTACCAATCTTTCATGATTTCTTGTAGTGCTCGATGATGGTATGTATAGAGATCAAAAATATACATCAGAAAAATATATTTGTGTACATAGAGAGAATCAAGTGCAGTTGACGATCATCGACAGCGATCATCAGTCCTGTTAGCGAGCGTATCCTGGGTTTTCCATATGTGTGAAGTGTCCTTGTAAGTTTTGAAATGTAGCAGTGTGCTAAAGTTCTGCTTGAAATATAAACAGATATGACATATTAACAATAACCTTCTCCTCGTCCTCACCCTACTTTTCTAATATTTTATTTTTTTTTTTTTACGAAGTCAAGTTGCTTGAGAAGTATGAGTACTTGCTTTCTACAATAGCTTATTTTTGTCCATCATTCCCACTCATTTACTTTTGTTTTGTTCATTTTTATTCCTCCCGGTCAGCTTTCGATTGCGCTTTCAGTAGTAATCCACTTACAAACAATTTTTAAAGTTTTGTTGCAAAAAAAAGAAAACGAACTTTACCAGTTGAACATTTCCATCAGTTATCCCTACCATAAATTTGAAAATGATAAGCTTATGCGAATATTGCTCCTGTTTGCACCTTGCTAATATATCAATCAGTACATTTTCATCGTAAGCTTATATATTTTTGATCAGATTCAGCCGTGATCGGACACAAAATAGAGTTTTTTTTTTTCCCCCAGAGACTAACATTATTGATTACGTAATGTTGAACATTCGTTAAATAAATCTGAGCTAATCGTTGATTGTCGAAACCAAGGCCAAATTCCAAATAGCTCACTCTTCTTTCTTTCTGTCCTGTTCAGCTCTCT